TGGCCCATGCATAATTATATGGATAGCTCTTTCAAAACTGTCAAATGCTGGTTTAAACATGAAAAGAGGTAAAATGGTTAAGTATAGCTAATCTGTATAATTAAAACATCTCAGAAAAATGGAGACATCGTCCTTGCTAGGCATGTTTATGTAGGAGAGGCAGACAAATACAAACCCTGAGGCTGTGTGGACCATGGAGTCAGAAGTTTGAGGGTTGCTAGTATAAAACCACCTGAATCAGTTGGCTCAGAGCTGTCGGGCTGTCACGCAGCCAGATCACTTCTGTGTTGCATTTAAACTACTAGATGAAGCCAGCCTAGCCAATGCTGCAGCAGCAGTGTCACAAAGAGATCAGCTATTACATTCTCAGCACAGCATCTTAGGAATAGCAACAGTCATTACATTGCAGAGGCTGTTTTCAGGAGTTCCTGACACCTTATTTGTGTAGATGTAATTCTTCTCCTCTCCCCACCACTGAAAGACTGTAAAGTTATTTATGAATTATTTGATATGCCTGTTTTTCTAAAAGGTATGATTGCATTTGCAGAGATTACTCCAGAAATTTTACAGCACCCATTATTATTTTTCTACTGTGTATTCAATGAAGGCATGCTTTCTGAGGTTTGATTGAAAATCAGAATAAGCAACAGCATAGGTAAATGCTTTCCAGGAGGTAAAGAGGCTCCTGCATTTGGATGAACATCAGATTCTGACTTAAACAGGCTCTGAGGGCACCTGGAGCCAAATCCTTGATACCTGGAAGTCTTATAAAACAAGTTTATGCAAACTTTGTCTCCACAAACTGGTCTCCTCAGCCCTTTGCTGAAGATGGTAAGCCCTGACCTTTGTCAAGAGCATTAGGCTCCGTGGATAAGCAGCACATTCGCTTTGATTTGTGCTTACTCTGGCATAGCTATGCAGTCCTGTTTAGTATCTGAGCTATGTGGGCTAAAACATGCAGGCCTAAGCAGTGCTACCAGTGTGGTACTGGCAAACTGTCCTTCCTCAAACACGGGAATTCAGATTATACGTATAAAACCAGTTGTGGTGGATTCGATTGGTTTGTTCCTTCTGAGGAACAGATGTTCCTTTCCTTCTAATGAAACATTCTTTCTAAGAGCTCTAGCACTTCAGCGTCACTACTGTGGTGATGTTGCATGGCACAGGGACCAGGTTTTCTGTGGCCAGAGGAAGGGGGATGTCAACATGTGGAGAAGTGGCTGGGGTTCCCACCTCGCAGGGGAGAGATGGGGTTCCCAAACAAATTTGAGTGTAAACTACAAACCCTTTGTGTCCTGCTGCACAGGTGAGGGCTCAGCTCCACACAGCAGAAAACACAATGAGAAAATGTAATAGGTGATGGAAGTCAGCCCTCTCTCCTGGGAGGCAGGAGATGATGGTGAGAACAGTATCACCAAGAAAGAAACAGTGGCTGTAACTTTTCTCCTTTGAGCACTCCAGCCTTTACTCTACTGCATAAAAGTAGGACATCCTATTTATCAGCACACCCCTTAAAAAAGATATGACCTCTACTCAATCCCCTCTGAGGGGAGCACATGCTCCTACCATTGGGGAAGCTTTGGGTCTTTTGGGGGCCTGGCAAGCGGAGATGTCTCCTCCAGGCCTGGTGAAGCCTCCCAACCCTGTGGACAACCAGCACAAACCTATTCTGAGATTTTAACTTCTCTCCAGGCAGGTTTGTGGTCTCTACCTTGTCAGGTTTGTAGAGTTAAGAAGGTCCTAGAACAGAGGAAGGCCACATGTGTTCAGAGGATCTCTGTTCTTTTCAGGTTACTGCTTTTGGCACATGGAAGTTGACACTCTTCTTAAAGCCCTTTTACGCATAGACTAAATTCTTACAGAAGAGGTTGTAAAGGGATGCAATTAACTCTCCTTTGGCCTGGGAGGTTGGAGCTGTAGTTAATACCCCTTTGAACATCTGTTCTGAATTTGGTGCTGACCCGTCAGCAAGACTTCTTGTGGTTTAAGACAGTGACCTACCTGGATGCCTCATGTACAGGCATACAGGAAGAAATATGGTCTAGGTTTCAGGGGCCATTTGCCATAACACAGCTGCAAGACATGAATGTATATGATGTGTATAATGAAGATGGGGATGAGCCTGTGCCTTTGCCATGCACCAGCTCCTCTTCCATACTCAGTGATGTGTAGGTGCACCCAGTCCTGCCCCAAAGGCTGCAACTCTGCATGCCAAGACCCAGCCTAGCTAGCACACATGGCTGTGTCCCCAGAGCAGACTTACAGGCAAAGACTTGGTGAGCAGCTGGCCAAGGAGCTCTGGTAATGACTATCAGAAGGGAATTGTGCAATCCTCCAAGTGGATGAAATGCTCCATTTCCCAGCCAAAATTAATAAAGAGAAGAAATAGAACTGAAAGGACAAAATGCTTTCTAATCAGGAGCAGTGGGGATTTAGTTGTTAAGCTATGAACAGGAATAGACAGAAACTCAAATGCTTCTGAGAGAGGCAGCAGAGAAGCACTCACAGTGTGGGAAATCTCATCCAGTTCCAACCCCCTGCCACGGGCAGGGACACTTTCCACTAGAGCAGCTTGCTCCAAGCCCCTGTGTCCAACCTGGCCTTGAACACTGCCAGGGATGGGGCAGCCACAGCTTCTGTGGGCACCCTGTGCCAGGACCTCAGCACCCTCACAGGGAAGAACTTCTTCCCTATATGTGTCCTGTCTTATTTCTTCCTTATGTGTCTTTCTGAAGCATGGGAGGAGAAGAAGAAACAGCTCATGCTCCCATAGTTCAAGCATTGTGAGAAATACCCTACGTAGCTGTAATTGGGCAAAATTGATAGTCATTAACACAGGAACTGCTCCAGATGCAGGGTGAGCATCACTCCCTTGTTGCCACTTAGCTGCTTGAATCATGTTTTCCTACGACAGCTTTGGTAAGACAGGTTACAAGCAGAAATAGCTTGTATGTCCTGCCTGCTTCCTGACAAGCAGGCACTGGGGTCAACCTTTGCTGTGGCCATTCACCCAGGCTGCCTTTACTGTCAGCCACGGGCTACAGTGTGTTTGAAAATCCCAATAAAAGACCGAAACCCCCATTTGTAGCTACATTTTGAGCACTGAGCTCTGGTCTTTAATCCATTCAGCCTGTTCCAAGTTGAAACTTTTATTACTTTAGCTGCTTAGCCAGATCCTTGTGCAGAAGAAGGAGATGCTCCTTGGTTTACTGGAGATTGCAAGGATACAGACACAATGTGGGCAGCGCTGGTGGAGGACAGCCAACTGAGTCAGCAGGTATGAGCAGCACCGTCTACATGAGAAGCTTTTACAGAGCGCTGAGATTGCTGGCAGGGAGCCCTGTCTTCCCTACACCATCAGAGCAGGTGCTTTATCCCTCCTTTCCTGCAGCAGCACCAGCTGTCACTTGTCACCACAGCCAAAATATTGCCATGCCTATTAACAGCTAGTAATTGATGTGAAATCAGTGAACCTCCTCATAAAGTTCATGCTATGTGTGCCAGAGATAGATAGACTTCCAACATAGGAGTCCAAGCCTAATGAGAAGCTCTCAGCTAACAAAATCGAGTTTCCTTTAGCAATGGATGAGCATGCATGATTATCCATGGTTTCCTAATTATTGTAATTTACTCAATCTCACTTATTAATGAGCATTTTTCTGCCTGGGGACTTTCTAATCAGAATTAATTGTCACTTTTACCATTATAAAATACTGCTCCCATTACATTGCTCAGTTTCACAGCACTAACTTTGGAAAGAACAAAGGAGATAAAGAGAAAGTTGTTAAAAATATTTTGCTTGTCAGTTCTGATTTTTATCAATCAAGAGCATTTGAGGAGTCTAACATGGAGAGGAAAAAAGAGGGGAAAAAAAAAATTTTCATCCTTGAAATCCTAGATAAGAAAATACTGTCTTATCAAGGAAAAAATGTATCAGTGATACATTGAAAGAGGCTCTCATTAGTTAATTGTAGAGCTACCACTGAAGCTTTTCCTCAACAGGTATGGAAACCTGTTGTAACTCCACTGTTTCCTCTGCATTGTGCCAGAGCACGAACGATCTCACAGAAATCAAAACTGCCTCTGAACATACACCCTTTTACCTAACATATTCTCAAACGAGCTAAGTGCCTGTATCTTTCCAGTTGGAAGTGATGTTTTTGGGCCTGAGCTCCAGAATGAATGGCAGGGTACTCCTTGTCAGACTTTGTAGTAACTTGAACTTAACTTGTACAATGTGCCACAACAGTAGAGTGATACATGGCATGCAGCACAAATAACTTAATTAATTAATAATTTCCTAATTCATTGCTTAATAGAATTGACAACAGGCACAGAAATCTGAAGGAAAGATGAATTTCAGCTCCTCTTTTCCCTACATTCCCATATTGCAGGGGGTGATGTTTGGTTTTGGAGATAAGTGAATACACTTCCCATGTCATTCAACAGCATTCACTACTAAATGATTCATCTAGTGCATTCTTAACAGCAGCATTACAGAGACTCTTTATCCCCTGCTCAAGTTAAAAACAAACATACCAATTAATTAGAGCTTGCCCTTTGTGGTTAAAAAGCCCCCAAACCAACACAAACCCCTCTCACCTGTGTAGTGTTTGTTGCAGCTGGAAAATGGAAAAGAAATCCCTTATGTCAAGATGATGGTTATAAGAAATGACATAAAGGATGTGTCAAACTAAGACAAGCTTTTGATTAAAGATGCATGTATAATTACAGCACCTCTACAGAAAAAAACAGCACCATCCCCTCTTGGAAGGGGATACAATTGACTGAGACCTGAAACTCTGAACTCCAATTCCTACAACTGTTTTGTTTTTCAGTAAATGCCTCACACATGCTGCCTGCTGTCTTTGCAGGGGGGGGAAACACCCATATCTAGACAAGAAAAGTTCAATAATCCCAGTTGCCTCCCCGCAGGGGTGCTGAAAAAGCACTAGATCTGCAAGCATGTGAGAAAAGTAATGCACACTTTAGAAGGATACCTTAAAAGAATAGTAAAAGGATCCCCACTCCTCTTCTGCCACCACTTCAGTGAAAGTCACCGTTTCAGTGCAGGTGACAAGGGTGAGATCCAGCCAGACGGTGCTTCCCTGGGGGCTGCTGCTGCCTTCTGTGGAGCCGACCTCCATCACTGGGCTTTGTTCGAGATGTCTAGGTGCTTGTCTCCCTAAGAGTTAATGCAGCCAGGCTTCTCTCGTAAAAGAACAGCAACAAAACCAGCTTCTCACTGCTTCACCACTGGCTGCCAGAGGTGTCGGGCTTCGGTGCAGCTGAGTGATAGGAGAGTTAAAAAAACAGAAAAGCCAAGCTGGCATTGTCCCTTTGAGCTTTCCTTCAGTACAACTCTGACGACAGCCCTCCACATGCTCCTACATGCTGCAGGAGCAGCAGCCAGTAAGAAAGGGAGCACGCATGCATCCAGCCATGTGTCTTATGGACACTGGATTGCTTTGCATTCCAAGGTGTCAGCTCTGGAGTCAGGCACACCTGGGACAGCATGGACATCCTTCCTGCTTTAAGTTCAGGAGCCTGGCTATTCCACTAGCAACTTTGGTTACTTACCCTGGCTCAGCCCACTTTGATGTCAATTACCTGCAGGATTATGATATATCTATATACAAGCACCTGTGTTAGCAAAACCCTATTAGGTTTTTAGACTTAAGATACCACAGTTTCTGTAAGTGTTTATCTATCTGACTTGTAAAGGTGCCTTCACCAAGAAAAAAAATATCACAAATAGGCCTTCACACTTTCCTTTGCAGAGAGGAACCTGGGGAACTACACACCAGTCAGTCTCACCTCAGTGCCTGGGAAGATCATGGAGCAGATCCTTCTGGAAACTATGCTAACACACATGGAAAGTAAGAAGGTGCTTGGTGACAGCCAGTATGGTTTCACTAAAGGCAAATAGTGCCTGACAAATTTGGTGGCCTTCTATGACAGGATTACAGCACTGGTGGATAAGGGAAGAGTGACTGATGTCATCTACCTGGGCTTGTCCTGACACGCGGACGGACTCCACAACTCGTTAGAGTTGTAAAGTAGGTATGCTTTATTCAGCGCTGAGGCGCATGGGGGTTTCTCCTCCAAAAGCATGCACGCCCCCCTTTGCCACTCAGTTCGTTTATATTACATGTAATAATTACCTAAACATGAGATTGCTTCATGCCTAATACATATGCCAAACCTATTCCTGTCTAGTATTATAATTGGTTTTCTGGCATTTGTCCCATTGGTGCGCCTGCGCAGTGCCTCCTGGTGGTGGTCGTTCGTCTTCATCACCACGAGTAACCTCTTGCTTTCACGCAGAGTCAGTAGGGTTTCGGCTCCTTTCCAAACGTCAGGTTCGGTACAAGCTGGTTTTATGTATCTTAAAGTAGAAACTTGTCAAGTTTGTAAATTTTGTTACTCTGGCTATCTTTTGTTCCTTTTCTTTCTAAAGATACTATTTGAACAAGAATGCCTTCAATATTAAGCTATGAATCTTTACTACAATTCTGCCTAGCAGCTGTAACTGCTACAATTCCGCTTCACCATTCCAGCAACTTTAACTCCTACGGTTCTGCTTCACCAAGCACAGCCACTGCTTACGCAAGCAGGCACAATGTTAACCCTTTATTTCCCGGTATCAGTCTGAAGCATTTCACACATATCCTGCACGACATCCTTGTCTCTAAGCTGGAGAGGCATGGATTTGATGGATAAGCAAATTGTTTGAATACCTCTGAAATTAATGGCAAAATAAAAGACTTTAATGATTGAATCTAAAGAGCCTGTAAAAGGCAAGATCAAATCCTAGCAATTCCTCTAGGAAGGAAGAGGAGATCAATCAGCAATCCTCTAGGAAGGAAAATGGATTGATTCCCACAGGTGACTGTTATTTTCATCAGCCAGGATGTTGCAAAGTCTCCAAGAACTTTCAGTGGTGAAGAGGTTGAGACAGTTTTACAGAGAGAGAAATTGAGTCTTCTCTCTGCTTTAATATAAAATGTTCTCAAATTATTATTCCAAGAATATTTTTTTCCTTGTGTGTAAAATATGTGTAATAGAATCTGATGCTGCTTTCTTAACCTTTTGCTATGTCATTTTTTCAACTCACACTTTAGCATTGCACCAGAGCACAAGCATACTTCAGAAGTAGGAAAGATTAAGCCATTTTGAGAATACTCTTTAAGCAAAAAGAGTGGGTTATTTGGAAGAGGAATTGAGAGGACTTGTTTTAGATGCCATTTCATTTGCCATTCCCTTTATGTTGGTCTCAACAAATTTAATTTTCTTAAATAAAGCCTTACCAAAAGACCAGAAAACCTGAGACTGTAAATGGCTACAGTGAAAGCTGGAATGCAACAAAACTCATACCCTCCATGTACAGACACATGGTGGGAGACCTGCAACACATATCTTGTATCGCCCCACGGTGGCATGATTTTCCTGACTGACAAGAAGAGGAAACCATGTACAACTGTGGAAACCAGAAGACTGATAGGACGAGACAACTGAAGGCAGGTACTCCTGGGAAAAAGGAGCAATGAGTCGAAGTTTTTGAAGCCCAAGTGCAAATACTGATTTTAGCTATTTAAACATGAAATTCCTCATGCAGAGACTCAGGTCTTTCCTGCACAGCAGCTGTGAAACACAATGGATGGAGATGGGTCGTTTTGAACAGGACAGAGTGGACACTTTGTGGCAGGCAGAGGTGCAATCACAGCCACGTTGCTCTCAACCCAGCAGCAAGGGGAGGAGGGTCTGTAGGAATACATAGTCCTTCCTATGCTGTGCACTTCCTTATTTTATCTGCCCTGACAGAAAATGTCATGTGGCACTGTTTCTTGTGCATGATGATGATTTGCAAAATGTCAGCAAATCTAAATGCTTTGATATGTCCAATTATTTAAAAGATTAGGCACAAATAGATGTGCTCAAGTCTGCATTACTTTAGCAGAAAATTTATAGCAGATTTATCTTTATTATTGGGGTAAAATTGGAAAAACAAAATGGATTTTTGCTGTTTGGAGTTTCCTACACCCTGGAGTAGCTGGGCATAATCCTATTCAGTGAAAAGAAGAAATAATGCTATGGGACTGCAGGAAGAAAGAGAATGAGATATTCCTTACTTCTAAAAGAACAGCAAGTTAGTTGTTTTTCTGTTAAGATCCATGCTTATCTGAATTTATAAATGCTGGCTTAGGAAAAGGGATGTCAGTCTGCTCTTCCCAATGCATAGCCCTTTTTCCCAGGAGCTGAACATCTGGGGCAGAGCAGTGGAGCTCAGCTGCCGCCTCTGGCAGCTCAGGACCACTGGAGAGCTGTGTTCCTGCATCCCTACTGAGCAAGGATGGAGCAGAAATTACACACTAATGACACAGTTCCTGTTGTCTCACGTAAGCTCATCTTCCTTCACTTACAAGCTGCTTAGCACACATGTTGTTTTCTTTTGGTGCTGTGCCTCTGGAGGGGCATGGATCTGTTCAGCATGGGTAGGAAATACACAGAGTGAAGTGCTGCCCTTGGAGCTGGAACCAACCAAGGCTGCAAGTGGCCCCAGAGCCTGGGCTGAGGCTGGGAAGAGGCACCTGGGTTTCTGGACTCTTTAGAGACCACAGCTGTGTGCAATGCAGGGAGCTCCATATATACCTTAGCTAGGATGTAACTATTCCCCCACCACATTTGCACTCACATGTAGACATACTTCTTAGCCCCTCCAGAGGAGACAACATCAAGTTTCTCAGTCTTCAAAGACTTGAAATAGCAACGCTCTTTCGTGAGATAAATACACAATTACTAGATTCCCATTCTCCACCTTTCTGAATGAAGATGCTGTACCTCAGGATTTGAAGAGTCAGGGAACACAGCAAGATTTCAGAAGCTGGTTTCAACCTCACTCCCAAGCTCTTTACTTCAGGATCTGTATCCCAAAGCAGGATAAGGAGGTGATGCCTGGAAGCCTGGCACAGCATGCTGACACTGCCAGCCTCAGCTGGTCTTTAGGAATGTGTGAATCTGCAAAGACTCAACTTGTGACTGTCTCAACTGCACCACATGGGGTCATCTCATGCCACAGCCTGTTCCATTCACTGGTTCTTCAAATTCCTGAGTTCTGGAGTTAAAGGCTGGCAGCTGGAGCTCAGAAATGTGCGTTTGATTTTCACCCCGAATCAGAGCAAACTCAAATTTTGAAACATTGAAAGCATCACTGAATGAGATGACTGCTCTCTGCTGGGCTCCAGCCTTGATCTCTGACTCATCAGTGTCTATCCAGCTTTGAAACAGATCCCCAGACTGCCAGCAAATGAGTTCTTCATCTTAAATTAAGTTTTGGATCAGATCTTTCTCAAAAATCTAGACTTCACCCATAGTAAAGCACCAGAATCATAGAAAAGACAGAACATTTTTATCATAGGAATGAGAAAATATGAGCATGTTGTTTCTCTTCCATAGGTAAGTTGAAAAGAAGGACTTTTTTCACATCTTTGCTGCTGTTTATAGTCAATTCAAATTGGTCCATTTTACAAAAAGGATACACAGCAATTTATCTGTTTTTGCTAAGAAACTCTTGCAGAAGAATAAGCAATCCTTAAGGAATTCTTTTTGAAAAGAAGCAAGCAGATGAAGAAAACACGTAGAGGAATGCTATTAAATATGAACATTGTCTTAGTGGAACTGTCAGTGGAACTGAAATTTCAAATCCCTTTGCTCTGTTCCCTTCAATAGAACCATCAAGAAAACCAGGTACTTCAAGGGCCTGATTCTTCATTCATTCAGTCTGTTGCAGAGCAGGATTGCTTCCTGTTCAGTGACTGGAATTGCAAGTAGCTTTAGGGAAAAAAGAGCCAAGCCCCATGAAATGAAACAGATGCCTGATAAACACGCATTCCTATGAAACACTGAGGCAGTCAACATAGTCACTTGGAGTATTTCTGCTTTAAAGGAGCTGAGCAGGTGGCCAACATGTATGACATCCATCAGGTCCTGGCAAGTAGTTACGCATAGGGATGCCTGTAGATGGGCAGAATAAATTCACAGCTCACATCGGCACCAGAAAGATTTTCCTTTCAAAACTTTCCGCTTCCAAATGCCAAGGCACCGTCTGCCCTTCTCAAAGAGCTGCAGCTGGAAAGGGAGAACAGCTCAGAAATTAAAGCTGTGCTGCCAAATGGAAAAGGTGGCTTCAGGTGAGCCCTGTCAGGCTCCCATCACATCCATCGGGCACACAGCCAGCCCACCCGGCTGCATTGACCAGCAGACCATATGCTCATTAACAGGGCAACCACAGAGAACAAAACACCAGGCATATGGATGTCCTGTCCTCCTCCCTCTGCTTAAGGTCTCAGTTAACTACAGTGAAC